ATGCAGTAATTAATCAGAATCGTTATAATTATCAATTATATATATACAGTATGTATGTATATACGTACATACTTCTTCAGCACTTGTTGGATTTGTATTTAGAATTACTTTGAAACTATATTTCCTGAACAATAATCATATGTAGTATTCTAAAGCTTGCAAGGTTTGTAAATTTAATTGTTCTATTAATTCAAAAAAATAATAATTTATTCAATTATAAAATTAACTAGATTTTTATACTATTGCTATATAGTAATGGATTCAAAAACTAATAAACCTTACCAATGTGTTTTATGTCAAACCAAACGATTCAAAACAATAAAAGGACTTTATCAACATGAAACATATATGCATAAAGATTATAATTTACCACCATCAAATCTTCCTTACTTGCCACCAGATGCAATACAACAATTTCATGAAACTTTAGTATTTTCTATTAAGAAAAAGCTTTTACTAAATTTTAAAAATTCAGGAAAGCAATCAATTAAAATTCCTTGTAGTGAAAGTCAATTTGTTGGAGTATTTGGATTATGGATTTATCGTTACTCTCCATGCAAAAAAAAATATACATGTATTTTTAATAGACCAAATGCAAATACATTATTATCAATAATATTAAAAAATAATGAATGGGGTGAGCAATGGTATAATTTAGAACAAAAAGCTTATGTAGTATTATATAATCCCTTATTATCTAATAATCAAATATTACCTGAAATAAAAGTAGAATGGTATATTGAAAAAATAACTGATGCACATCAACAAACAACATTTACAGGATTTATTTTTATAAAATTTCAAATAGATACTGTTAGTTATCAAATTCAAAGGTAATTTTTTTATAATTATAATTTTGATTAATTTATTTATTATATATATTAATTAAATTTATTAATTATTAGAGAATAAAACTAATTAATCTATTTAATATAAATATGCTTTGGTTTTTCATAAATTAAAGGTATTCTATTTTTAATAAAATATAGTAATCTATTTTCATATTGTAATATTTCTATAATTGATGAATAACACATTTTATTTCCTCTATCTTTTAAAGTTCTATTAAAAAAAATTGTCACATGCTCATGATTTTTTTTTTCAATTGGAGTACAAGAAAATGCATGAAGACCAAGCTTATTGTGATGATGAATTATATCTGAAAGATGACTATATAAAAGATGCATGTAGGGTGTAATATCGGATGGTTTATATAATCCTTTAACAAATTCTATTGTATTTGTTGTTCCAATAGATGGTGTTAAAAATAATTCTATCCAATCTTTTGTTTTATTTTTAAATGTATCTCCAGTAGTTGTAATATCAAGTAATAATTTGTAAAGATTATAAAATTCATTCCAAAGTTTTCTAATAAGAGAAGCTCTTTATTGATTAAAAAGTTTGTTAAGATTAAAATTTAAAAGTATTTTAATCTTATTATCGCCTGTTAGTAATGTATAATTCCATATTTTTGAATTATGATCTTGCCAGAAATGAAAAGTAACACCAATTTGTTTCATTTCTTCACAAATTATTCTTCTAATTTCATTATTTGAATTATTATTAATTTGAATTTCTGCTAATACAAGAGCCCATAAATGATCTGTTATTCTTAGCATTAAATGTAATTCATCTGAAATCCAATTTTCAAGTGGAATCATAGTAAAAAGTGGTTGGCGAATATGTCCAGGACATGAAGTATAATTATCAACAAGCATATTCATATTTTTTTTCTTCCAATTTTTATTGTATAATCCAATTTCTTTTTTATTACAATTGCAGTAAGGACAAAAATATGTTGCATTAGCATTATTTAATCCAAGGCATAATGCTAAAAATTTCCAATCTGAGGAAAAATATAATTCAACATTCCATATATTTCCAAATTTATCATTAATACCATTTTTATTTATATCATCTAATTCTTGAATTAATGGTATTAAAGCTTTTTGTAAATATATATAATTTTCAATTCCTGGATATAAGATTATTGTATAATGTCGATCTGGTTTCCAAAGATTATTTGCATCATTAAGAATTGAACATGTGATCATAACATGTTTAACTTGATGACCAACGTTTCTGCCATCACCTGAAATACGTAACATAATTAAAGGATTGCTTGGATCTAAAATCTTCTCTTCGATTAAAAATGGTATCAAATATAAAATAATATTTTTTATACTTCGATAACCAGCTTTTCCGATTGAACTAATAATACCTTGAACTATATTAGGATCATCAATATGAATCCCATTATTAATTTCTGTAGTATTAGAAATATCTGCATTTATATCTATAATACTAAGTGGTATAAAACCTTGCATTATTTTATTAATATTGATTTTTTCCTCACTAATTTTATATTCACATTCAATTTCAGAATTAATTTTTGCTAATGATCGAATAGTATTACGTGATATATGATTTTGATCCATTACTCTAACATAAGATTGTCTTTTTTTCTGTTTTAATATATCATCTTTTGGTTCAAAATCTAATATCCAATTCTGATTGTTAACTGCTAAAGTAAGTGATTCTAATTGTATTTTATCATTATAATGAAATGATTGTGATATTTCATTATTAAGATAAATTTGT